TGTACAATTATGTCTTCTTACAAAAGATTAAATAAACATAATAAATACTTGTTTGATTATGGAAAAAAAAAAAAAATTAATAATAATATTTTTAATTAATAAAAAAAAGAAATTTTAAACAATACTATTATTAAACAAAGCTAAATAGTAGACTATGTTTATCTATTTAGAAAAAAATCAAAATAATTAAAATTAAAACTAAATCAAATAAATTATATAATCTATGAAAATAAAAGTTATATCTCCAAAAAAACCCCTGATTAGACTTATTATCTTAATTTTCTAGTTTCTTGAGACTTGTTAATATGGCTTTTTTTGATACAGATAATAGAATATACTTGAAGTTAATTATTATACTGTATAACAACTGAGAGTCGAGGAAAAAAGGGTAAAAATCGATACTCATTCATTACAATATCAATCATCTCTTCTTGGTCTGCTATTAATTCTCGAAAAAGCTGTTTATTCCAGCCTTCTCGTGACTTTATCACTCGAAGTCAGATTATTGCAGTTTACAATGTATTATTATCTTTAGACACAGAATGTGCCCTGCTTCACAGACTGGTTAACTTATATCTTTTTTCGAACTTGAAAAAAAAAGGGACTGAAACCTATATACTTGGAAATCTGATCACGTAGTTCATAAGACATTTTTCTTTTCTATAATATGTAATAAAAATCGATTTAATTTGTCTTAATACTAAATTTGGAGCGAGAAAATTAGTAAGTATATGTTGAGATGGGACGTAATAATTAGCGTAAAACAATAAGCCTCAATAAAACGATGTCAAGTGTAAATCCGCATATATAGCGGAGGTCTCTTTATTTTTTTAAAAAAATTATCAAAGAAACAATATACAAATAACCACTATGTGACTGTTTTAATATTATTTCTAATTACATATTAAGGGATGTAATCATTATCACTACAATCGTCATCACCGGTTGAATACAGCATATATGAATCAAGAGAGTAATCATCCTTATCTTTACGTCCGTAATAATCTAAAATTGAATCACGGGCAACAACGTCTGGTTTTAACGGAACAAGCACAAAGTGGTAATAGAAAAAGAAACCAAATCATTAGTTATCACTTATGGTAATTTTATTTCAGTAGAGCGGACCCAAGAAATTATTTGATAAAATAGGATGTAAACTTACTAGATATGGGATTATACAATGGAGTAACAGGAAAAGCCGTCTCGTATGTTTTATTATCTGTCTTGATAACGTTATTATTCGCTTTGGGAGTATTATTATCGGTATTGGAGGTATTGAGAACGTTATTATTCGTTTTGGGGGTATTATTATCGGTCTTGGAGGTATTAAGAGAGTTAGTCTTAGAGTTGTTAGAATAGATGGTCTTGGAAGCATTACTTTTATTGCTCTTGGGGGTGCTGGATTTATTAATCCTGATGGTGGTATCGTTAGAACTGCTCATTTTTACGTCTCTATATATAAAAATAACAGTAAGTATGAATATGTTTTATATTCTTAATTAATAGCGATATATTGAACGATGGTACATTACTTCGAATTAGCGCTATAAAACGTTATTGGTACCCACCTTACAAGAGGAAAAAATGATGTATTTTATACCGTCCAAGACCATTAAATCTATTCCAAAACCAAATATATTTTCGTCATTTTTTCGGTTAACCACTTAATGTGATTGTCTTCAGT